CCCATCCCATGCTGATCTGCCCTGCTATAAACTGCTCTGCTGGGCTGTCCCAACTGCTGCTCCCTGTCCCTTTACTCAGGGAGGACTGGAAGGGGTTGGGGACTCCCCAGTGCATCAGCTCCTCACAGAGCTCCAAGCTAGGCTGGCTGTGTCCATTGGCTCTTCTGTGCCATCCTGAGATGTTGGGGTGCTCCTGGACCATCATGGGATGCAGCCCGTGCTGGCAAGGGATGCTCGGAGGGGGGATGCAGTGGTCCCAAGGGATGGATGGTGTAGTGCTGAAGGAAGACTCCTGACACCACACCAGAAGATAGATCCACAAATCCATGGAAAGATCTGCTCCTTTTTGGAGTTTTGGTTTCTTTTTATTACAAGTCAGAATAACTCTAAATCACCAAACCACGTCTGGGTAGGACCAAGCAGGAAGCTGGCTCCCTTTCCCTTGATTTTTGTAGGTTTAAAAACACATATCTGTGCTGAAGTTTGGTTCTTCTCTTTAATTCTGGGTCTGTGAAGGAGGCTTTAACCTGAGCTCACGCTGTTGGAATTCCCTGCTGCGCCAGGGAGAGGCTCCTTGCCTTCAATCGCTTCCAGATGCCATTCCTGTTCCGGCTCTTCCCCTTGCAAAATGTCTCCCCCAGCCCTCCGAAGTTTTCCCGGCCGGATTCGACATCCCCATATCCGGCCAGGCTGAGTAAGCTGAGCCTTAATTTTTTAACCAGAGCCTGATGCCAGTGGCAGGAGGTTGGAACTCACCCGTGGTGTTGCACAAGCCGGGGCCCCGGGGTGGATCCTCCGTCAGGGTTTGAGCTGCTTGCGACATCGGCTGTTTTTTAAATTTCATTTAAAATGGAGATAAATGAGCTGGGCTGGAGTTTGGGGTTTGGGATGCCTTGGTGCCCGCATTGCCAATGGGGCAGAGCTTCCCTGGGCCCCAAAATGACAGGAAACTGAGGCAGGAGAGTGCTGAGCAAGAGCTGAGCAGCCTTAAACACTGCTGTGAGGCTTTGCAGATGCTGTGTGCTCCAGCCAGCCCAGCATTCCCACCGTGGATCGGGAAACACCCCTGGATGGAGATTAAACCCCCAGCACAGCAGCTCTGCTGGGCTCAGGTCTGTGGGTGGGATTTTGTCAGACCTGTCTGTGTTGGGAATGGAGGAAAATGCTGAAGCACTGAGGGGGAAAATGAGGTGGACAGTGAGAAGTGAGGGAGATGCAGAGAGAGGGGATGCAAGTGAACTTTGGGGATGCAGGACTGAGCAGGACTAGGGTGTGGGAAGTGGGATGGTGTCAGAAATGAAGGCCAGTGAGGGGTTTTAGGGGTTAAATGTGGTGCTGCCTTTGAACAAGGCATCAGGAGCAGTGCCAAGGGCTGGGAAGTCCTCGAGCCCATCCCTGTGCGATCACCAGCGCTGCTCCCAAACCAAAAAATAGACTGAAGAAAAAAAAAAGGATCACAAAGAACTGTCTGTTCAGGCATACTCGGGCTCAACAGGATTCACTCCTGGGCGGGGTCTGGTATTTGGGGTGGGAGAGGCGAGGGTGGCCAAGAGCTCGGCTGTCAGAGCAGGCTCTTTATGTAACGAAAAGATGTGATTTGTCCTCAGAAATTTTACCCCGGGCTCCTTTTCCACTGCCTTTTTTCTCGTGGGGTGACGGCAGCCCTCAAGGGCTTGGGTGGTGCAGGCGGAGTGGGAAGGGCTGGGGGAGCTGGGGGGGAATTTCCAGTTAAAATATGGATCAACACAAGGTTTTGGAGCCCAAACATCACAGCACCCGCCCCAGGACCAGACCCCACTGCCAAAGCCCTGCATCCCCCGCACATTTCGGCTTCTTCAGCATCCTGGTGGTCCATTGGCATCTGCCCTGGAGCTGGGGCTTCCCCGGCCCCTTTGCTGCCTAATTAACAACGTTGCTGCATAATCCCCTCTGCATTTACAAGTTAAATCGACAGATTATCTGTATTATGCAAACGCAGCTTTAAATCTTAATTATTTATTTGCATGGGGTGTCTGGAAATCAGCAGCACTAAAGCCTGGGGATGCTGTTCTCTTGGAAGTGCAGACTTGTGCTAGGAGATGGACCCAAAATAGGCTTTTTTTGGTGTGGTGGGTGATGCTTGACGCCCCATCTTGGGAATGTGTCTATTTTTTCCTTTTATTTTTTTTTGGGGTGGGGGGTGGTTATTGTGGGAGGTTCATCCTTAAATAGCAGTGGTTTATTTTTAGGTCGGTCGCTGCTTTGGATAATCCGGCTTGGCTGGGCAGCTCTGCTTTTCTTGCCATTCTCAGGGATTTGATAGAAATAGGTTTATTAAATTATTTTATTTTTAATAAAATAGTTTCATAAATTTAATAAGTTATTGATAGAATTAAAGAAACACGGGGTTGGAGGATGGGAGTTCTGCTGGTGCTGGCCCTTTCGTGCTGTCTTGGACAGGGAGCATCCACTGGGATGACCATTGGTGAAACCTCTTCCCAAAGTGTAATTCCCACACTGGAATTACACCTTTGGCTCGGCCAAAGGATGGTTGGGAAGCAGCTGGATTATCTCCCATTAAATACTTGCAGAATGAATAAGCTGCTGGTCCCGGGGCCATAGCGACTGGGGTGACGTGAGGGATGTGCTGGGCTTGGAAACACCTTGCTCCTGCCAACTGGAGACGTTTTCTCTGGAGGAGGATGAGCTCACCTGGATTTTATTCCCCTCCCAGCCTGGCTTTTGCTCTCTCCCCCCTCGGGAGGTAATTTTAACTGAGGGAGGCTGGCGCCGGTGATGGAGCACCGAGGGACGGACGGACGGACGGCTGCCTCGCTGCAGGTCTGGAGGGAGCAAGGGCGAGAGGCTCGTCTCCATCTCCCCCTCCCCTATTTTAACAGCCCTGGGGGGATTTGGTCCTCGATGGGGAGGATGATGACAGGAGGAATTTGTCCCTGCCCTGTGTGTCTCCTCCTGCCTCTGGAATATCTGTTCCTGCCAGGGTCCTCCTGCACTGGGGCTGAGCCCCACAAAGGGCCAGTTCTGGCTGACAGAATTAACACAGGAAGGGATGTGCCCATTGGGTTTTTGAGTTTTTTGCCCAAAGCCACGAGCATCCTGGAGGGAGATGCTGGCGAGCGGGCTTTAGTGCTGCTGATTTCCAGACAGAAGGTGCCTTTTTCCCCCTCAGATTTGGAAACTGTTATTTAAATGATTAAACTGATAGGCAGGACAGGAAACTGAGGCCAGCAACACAGCTGGAGAAGGAAAGGAGCAAAATCCAGTCTGTTTTTGCGACCTGTGCTCGTTCTTGAGGGGTCTGGGATATGCGACATTCATTTCCTGCTGGGACCAGCTGCCAGATGGGTTGAGCTGCCTGCGGCGAGTGGTGGAGACAGCAGCTCCTGACCTGCTGGGAGCTGGAACCGTGATGGGACTTTTCTGGACCTTGGGCTGGGAACAACTGATTGCATCGGCTCATGGCAGGGAAAACAACCCCAGGAAGACTGGCAGCAATCCAGCTCCTGGCTCTTCCAGTCGAGCTGGAAAAACCAGCTTAAGGCAAGAGCTGGGATCCACCAGGATCCTGCCTGGCTGATGTGCTCTAAGGTATCACAGGATCCTTCTGGAACCCCCAGGCAGCTCTGAACATCCTCATCCTCGTTTCCACAGGCAGGGGCTGGTGCTGTGCCATGAAGTGCTTTAGCAGGAGCTCCCCAGGGAGAGTTTAACCTTGGTAGTGGATCCTATAATTCACAGCTCTAAATGAAAATGCTCCTTGTCAGAGGTAGCAATGTTGGCTTCTCTGGTGGATTCAGGGCTTCTGGAAAGACCCTGGTGCCAAAGGTGAATTTTGTGGCCTCAAGTGCATTTGGTTTGGCTGCTGATTGCCCTGAACCCTTGGGATTAATCACCCCCCAAGGCAAACAGCGATGGAAGGGGGAAGCAAAGGTTCTTTGTGTGGAGAGGGAAGGTGTGACACTGGGATGGAGCCATCCCTGTCATCCCGGGGCCTGTGCAGAAAGCCTGATCCCTGGTGAGAGGAATCCAGGAGAAACCATCTCAGGCTGCTGGGTGGTTTCCCTCCCCACCCCTCAGACAAGGATATAACCCTCTTTGTTAAATTAGTGGGATATTAAGAGGGGAGCATGCTGTGGGGAAGGCTTGCACCTCTCTCATCTCTGCTTTTTCTAGCTGGAGGAGATGGAGAGAGGTGAGGAAACCTCTGGCCCTTCAGAGCTTTCCCTTGAAAGCACCTTCCCTGCCAGAGCTTAAGGAGCAGCTGACAGAGAGAGGCTTGTATTCCTCACTTGCATCACTGTTTCTTGCACTGAAATGAGCTGACATTTCCTCTCGTGAGTTTTCTGGGGAGAGCCGTGGCTCCCACCACACCCCATCCATCCCAGGGGCACAGGGATAACCGGGATAGCAGTGGGCTCGCTGCCTTCTTTACCTGGGAAAATGACTTGGGATGCAGAGCAGAGGGGCTTTCTCCGAGGGGCAGCATGGCAGGAGGGTTTCTGTGTGCGGTGTGGTTTCTCGGCAGGGATTTTCCTCCCCCAAATCAGGAGGATATCACAGTGCTGCTCTAGGATAGTCTGGAAAGTTTCTGGACAAAAGATGCCAGAGATGCGGGAACAAGGAGAGAGGGCAGGAAAGCTGCATTTCGCTTTCTCGTCTTCCTAAAGGTGGGAGTGATCCGCGGAAGGGGATTTGGGTGTTCGGGGGAGCTGCGGGAGCTCCGCTCCGATCGGCCACTCCTCCTCTCCCAGGGAGCCCGGCCCCGGGGCTGCGGTGCCGGCCGGGGTGGGTGGGTGGGTGGGAGGTGGTGGCTTTTCGGAGGTGAGTGGCTTTTGGGAGAGCTCAGACTTCCGTGCGACCTGTGCCGGCTGCCGCTGCCCCGGGACCGGCTCCGCCCGGCGCTCCGAGCTGCCCTGGCCGGGGATCCGCAGGGATCCGGGGATCCTCCTCCGGAGGATTCCTGCAGCTCTAAGGATGTTCTCCCTTCTCCCTTTCCCAGGGGAAGACAGGATGGCCTCGTAGATCCCGCCGAGCTCCCGCCTGCTCCGCCTGGACCAAGAGGACGGGCCGTAAGTAGCCGTGACTTGCTGCCAGCTCATCCCCGCCCTGCTGGGACTGGTTTCAGGCTCCCCCGCTGCTGGGGATACAGGAAAAGGTCTCACTGGAATGGGAATCCTCCTCCCTGCGTGGGTTAACGGAGCACTGAGGTGATGCTGGGGGTGCAAAGTGCCGGCTTATTTGCTGGGAATCTCCCTCCGTGCTGGTAGCATGGGAGAAAAGAGCAGAGAATACCCCAGGGGATTTGGGGCTGGCCAGATAGGGCTGTGGGGTTGCTCTGGGGGTTCCGCTCCTCTGAATCTGGTGCAAAACAGGAAGCAGAGGAGAAATCATGGGGCCAAGATTGAATGAGCCTTGCAAGAGTGATGGTGACTGCAGGAAGCTTCAGAGTCCCCAAAAGGGGACCCCAGAGTCAAAAGCCACTGGGAGCCAGGAGCTGCCTGCAGGACAATAGCCCTGGGGCTTCATATCCCTTAATTTCCCACTCCTTTTCCCAGAAGAGCTGGGACATTGCTTGAGTTTGGGTTGGGAATGGGCTGGAGCATCTCCATGGTTTAGTTTTTACCTTCCAGAACTGTAAGGGACTGGTGCTCCCAGGAGAGCAGGGAGAGGCTGCCAGCATCCTGCCTGCACCCCCAGCTCACTGCCTGCACCCCCAGCTCACTGCCTGCACCCCCAGCTCACTGCCTCCCCCTTTCTGCTTTTTGGGGGGACTCAGCCCAAAACACGGGTTCAAAGCTGTGTTGCCAAAGCTGCTTTTGCTGTTGCTGCTGCATCCCTGGGTGATCCCTGAGGATGGAGATACCGGAGAGTAAACACAGAGCTGAGGTGAGGGTGGCAGCAAAGGGGGGCTGGATGGAGCAGGTAGGAGGAAGGTGTGGCTGGATCGATGTCAGGGGATCAGGGATGAAATCCCACAGGTCACATTATCACTGCCCTCCTCTCCTTAGCAGGGGCTTGTCACCCCATGGGTGGCTCTGCTCTCTTCAGCAGCTTGGCCATAACCTCCAGGGTGTAGTGAGCTGCATACAGCAAGAAAAGTCTTTATTTTAATGTTTGAAATAGAAAAAGTGATTAAACCTATATAATAAAAATAATAATATATTATCTCTAACACTGTAGCTTTACTGTAGCCCTGTAGCTCCATGATGGCCTGGGGTTACCCCAGAGCTGTGAGATGATCAGGTATACCCACATAGCTGGTGTTTTGGGGCTGTAGGAAGGGATTTGTGTCCCATCCCTTTGTTTTTATTGCTGCAAGGATTGAAAAAAAACAGGTGGAGAGGATGGAGCCAGGGCTGGTCTGAATTGCTCTGGAGCACATTAAAACCAACAGTGCCATGGGAAGGCAGAAGCAGCATGGATTTATCCTGAGGACCTGCTACTGTGCAAACTTGTTGTACTTGAGCTTATTTACTGTTGCCGCCTTCAAAATTGCAGCCTGGTAATGGGTAAATGTTTTGTTAAGACTCACATGCCAACGAGGGGTTGTTTTCCACTATCGTAAATCTTTGGCTGGGTTATTGTGTGCCTGGGATACCACTGCAAAGGAAACAGCACTGCCTCTCCAAGTAAGAGGCAATTAAGATTCCTTTAAAGATTCCTTTAAAGTGACTAGCAGGGCTCTTAAAATAGGATAAATGTGGGTATCAGTGCACAGGCCAGGCTGGCTCCACACCCTCTGTGGGGTCATGCCCAATGTTCAGTGGAGTTGATTTTTGTGGTGCTGTGTCCTCAGGACCCTCTTCATCCCCCCAGCCCACGGCCCTGCAGCTCCAGCTCTTGACACCGCTCTGCTCTGAGGTTTTTGGCATCCCTTGCTCCTCCCAGCACCACTGGTCCCCTCTTGCTATCCCTCTTTCCCTGCCAGCATCCCCATCCCATGCAACGTCTCTTGGAGGGTCTCAGATCTGATCCCTGCTGCCTTTTGGGCTTGCAGCAGTGGTTGTTGCCATCCCACAAAGATTTTCTTCCCAGCTTGGAAAAAAAATTCCCCGAGCCCCGGGAGCTCACAGCAGCCGGAGCGAGGAAGGTTTGGGATGCCAGGCTGGGGGTTTGGATGTCTTTGATGCTCTGCCAAGCCCAGGCAGTGCCTGCTGGATCCTTTCCCTGCAGGATGGCCCCCGGCCGCCTCCCAGGTTGCGCTCAGGCTCCGGCACGCGATGGTTGTGCCGGGGCAGGGCGCGGTGTGGGGCTGAGCCGGCACCTGCCGGGCTCCCCCGGCGCTCCCAGCCCTGCCGTGTGCGCAACACCCGCGGGACGGCGGCTTGGAGGATCCCAGGGCTGTCAATCCCGGTTGTTCTCCTCCAGGGACAACAGGATGACAGGATCTGCCCCGCTGGTTCCCGAAAGCTCTGTGTGCCTGGAAAGCTCTGGAAAGATGGTGTGGCTGGAACTGAAGGGGTCTGTCCTGTCTGTCTGTCTCCCTTTGGTTCCCACTGCTGAGAGTGAATCCTTGGGGACTGCCAGTGCACCCCTTCCTCGGGTGCTGCCCAACCCTCCTTCAGTTAAAAATAAAGGCGTGTTTTTTTGGGATAAACTGTAGGAGATGCTTATTTTTCAGTGAGCATCTTTCTTACCCAGGGAGGCTGGACCAGGCAGTGGGTGGCTCTGTGTCCTGTGGGCACGTGGAATGGGACGGTGGGAGCACAGGAGAGGTGTCCTTGCCTCGTGTCATGCTTTTCCCAATCCATAGGTTACCATGGAAACATAAAAGTACCAAGCCTGCTGGTCCATGATGCTTTGCCAGGATGCCCTGAGATCACCATCCATCCATGCTGGGATGGTGTGGGGGAATTTATAACTAGTCCCCACCTCGGTGCTTGTTCCATGCCTTCAAATTCCCTTTTTTCCCTTTTTTTTTGGCTGGGAGCAGCTTGGCAGGTGCTTGCTGCCACTTTGTGGATTGACATGACTTAAGTCTGGGAATGCTGGAGCCACTGAGGCCATGGGGGGAGATGGAAATGGGTGGATGAAGATCCAAGGAAGAACTTCCCCCTGGCAGGAGGGTCGGTCTGTATGGATGCTGCTGGCAGCTCCCATCATGAAAGTGGGAGGCAAAACCCTGCTCCAGGTCAGAGAGAGACAGGGAAACTCCATGAGGCTTGGACATGAACTGGATCCTGGGATGGGGCTTTCCCAGAACACGGGGTGGGGAAGGGAGTGGGAGAGGGGGAATGGGCCATGGGGCTTTTGGATCCTTTGTGCAGCAATAATTGCAGCCTGTGGTGCTGTGGGGGCGCATCCTCCAACATCAAAGAAGGTCTTTTCCAGTCCCTTCTTCCAGGTGTGGGGAGCTGAATCCAGCTGGGACTTTCCCCCCAGCTTCAGGGCTTGGCGGGGCAGGCGATGCCCTGGACCAGCCCTGGGGGAGCAAGGGTTGATCCCAGGAGGGCTGAGTCCCTCCCTGCCGGACAGGGATGCTGCAGTGTGGGATCCAGGGAGGGTGTTGTGGTGAGGGGTCTGTGTTGGGGGATCTGAGGAGTGCTGCACGGGCTCTGAGGATGCTGTGGTGGGGCAGGGATACTTTGGGAGGCTCAAAGGATGCTGTGTTGGCTGAGAGGATACTGTGATGAGATGGGGATGCCAGTGGCAGGGGACTCTGAGGACATTGTGGAGGACCAGGGATGCTGCAGGAACAGGGGGATGCTGTGGGAGGGCTCTGAGGCTGCTGTGATGGGACAGGGATGCTGCAGGGGGCTCTGAGGCTGCTGTGATGGGACAGGGATGCTGCAGGGGGCTCTGAGGCTGCTGTGATGGGACAGGGATGCTGCAGGCTCTGAGGATGCTGCAGCACTGGGGATGCTGTGGGGACCAGCAGGACCCTTGGGCATCGCTCCCTCCCTCCAGCAGTGCTAAGAGGAGGACTCAGGACCTGGCTTGGGTAGTTCAGACCTTCCTGCTTTCAGCAGCTGCTCTGGTTTAGGCTGTGGATCTGGGAGGGCTGTGGGAAGCTTGAACTCATTCCAGAGGCACCACGGGCACGGGGGCAGCCGGGTGTGCTCTGTTTTGCTCTGCATTCCCTGAACGCTTCACTAAACAACCTTCCTTCTCCTCAGGGATTATTAGCTGTGTTTGCCTTAGATAAGTTTTGCATCAAGCCAAGCTTGTGCATACAAGCCTGGGAAAAGATCATAAAGCTGTCAAAAAGTATTATTTAAAAAAAGCTGGTATGTAAAGGCAAGTCATTGTGGGCAGAGCAGATTTTCCCTGTGTTTTCACGGGTGGAAGAAGTGAAGTGCACTTGGTTGGGTGTTTTGGCACCCAAGGATGAAGCTGGGGGGGTGAATTTGGTGCTAAAATCAGGTCCTGATGCCCAGCAGTTTCCCAGCCCTTGGCAAGCAGGGTTACTCAGACCCCCCAGGAGCATCCCCAGCCTCCAGCTGAGGCAGTGGATTTCCCCTTGGGGCTTTTGTGGCCGATTTTGCTAAGAACAAAACCCCCCAGGAAGCACAAGATGCTTTTTACCTTCCCCTAATTTTACTTTTTCCAAGCAATTGTAAGATGTAAAGGGCTGAGACCCCCCTGTGCCTTCTCCCTGTATTGCTCCCACCCTTGAAGATCCAGGTGTGGGTTTCATCTTCCCAAGCAGGAGGGGCTTGTTGAGCCAGAAATAGGATGCAGGATGAGAGGCAGGGTGTAGGCTGGGATGGGGGGTTGCTCCCCCATTCTGGAGCCCCCAGGTAATGGTGGGACACAATTATCCATGTTTTATGAAGGAGAAGTGGTTCAGAGGGAGAGAGGTGCTTTCCTAGGGGACTACCTCAGCTGTCCCCATCCCTCTGCTGTCAAATGGACACTGTTTTCTTTTCCTAGTGTCTTGCCCCATTGCTTTTAGTGTGGCTTAATTGTCCTTAATTGTCTTTTAATTACCCTTCTTGCCCTTTTTAATTAATTGCTCTCCTGCCTTTTTAACTTCAGAAGCCTGTGACAGGGAAGGGAAGAGCTTGGCTCTTTTGGGATCATCTTTGATCCCATTTCTCCTCATTCTTGATACGTTTTTGCCCCCGATCCTGGTGTTGGTGGCTGGCTGAGGCCGTGGCCCTGCCGGGATTTTGGCAGGTGTCAGGTTTGTTAGCAGCACTTCCTTGGGCAGGGAGGGGGTGAGGTGGGTGCCCTCCCTCGGCAGGTGACTAATCCCTGGAGCCTGTGATGGGCAGGCTCTGATTGAGAGGCTGTTTGGGTCGCCCAGCCCGGGTGTGCCTGGCTGGCATTTGACACAGCGAGATGTGGCTGCTCAGAGCCAGGAGGAGCTCAGTGACAGGGTGCCAAATCCACCCAGCTCTGAGCTCGGCTTAGAGCAGGATTCACCCTGGGAGCAGAGCCTCCCCTGTACCCCAAAGCTTCTCCCACCCGGTAAGTTCATTTTCCATCCTCGCCGTGTCCTGCCGGGACGGGATGAGCAATCCCGGGATGGCTCCGACCACGGCTCTTTGCTCCTTATTCCAGGAGCCAGCGGTTTTGGAGGAGGACAAAAGTGGCCCCGCTGCCCTGGGCAGTGTTTGTGGGCACTAAGCTTGCAGCACCTCCTTTCCCCGGGCTGGGATGGGTGCACACAAGGCGCTGGAGGTTCCCCAAGTACGTGCTGCTCTTCGGTTTGATCCTGCTCTGCTGCTCCTGTCCCTTCTCACTGCCTTTGTGGTGCCACGTTGGGCTTTGTCCCTGCTGATGCCAGGTGGATGCTTAAGCTGGGCTTTAAGTCTCCCCTCATGGGATTTTGTGGTTGAAACCTCACTGTGGGCTTGTTTTTCCTCTGTAATTAGTTTTTTTATTCATTTGGCCTCTAACCTGTAGAGCTGAAGCTCCTTGGGAAGTGCAGCTGCTTGCCTGACTTTGATAAGCTCTCTAAACCAACCTTTTGGTTACAAAGAAATGTGAATTTAAATAAATTAATCCTTTGGGGAACCCTTGCACCTGCTTGTCCACAGATACAGATGGGCAAGCAGGGGATGATGCCTCTTGGGTGGGGTTTTAGGGTCAGCCCTGATGGGTTTTCCCTGTTTCCTGCTGCAGGTGACCAGCCACGATGAGAGCTCCGGCCCTCGCCTGATCCCTTTCCTGCTGATAAAAATGATCAACAAGTCTCGTGAGTCCCACAGGGGATCCCATCTGCCTCTGTCCAAGCAGGAATGGGGAGCCTGGGGAATTTGCATTTGGAAATCTGGGGGTTGGGGTGCTGCTTCACTGTGGTTCCAGTTGAGTGATGGAGTATTGGGGTGTCACAGGAAAAGGTCACGGTGGGGAGGGTGGTTTTGAGGACTTGGATCTCTGGGCTTGAGCACCTGGAAATCCTTGACTTTGTTGCACAGAAATGGAGTGGAGGCACATGGAAAAACAGGATATTTACCTAGGCTTTGATGCAAAGCAGGCAGGAGGAAACAGAAACCTTGCAGTGGCTTTTAAACTTTGGACAAAAGCACCTGACTCATCTTAGAGCTGCTCCTCTCTGGGTCGTGGTGCCAGCCAACCCTGCTAACTGAGGAGAAGGCTCTGCCATCCTGGTTCTGGCTAGATATGCTGTGGGACCCCATGAGCAAACATCCACACCCCACGGCTGACGTTAGTTTTTCTCTCCCTTCCCCTCTGGGCATGCAGGAGGGAAGATACTCGGGGTGCTGGCGCTGTTTCTGGTGATGGTTTGGTACTCGATCTACCGGGAAGACAGGTACATACAGCTGTGAGTGCTTCTTACTCAAGTTTAAAGGACCTCCTGCCCTTTCCTTCACTCCTGAGAGGCAGCTTCTTCCTGCCCATCCCATGCAGAGATGCCAGAGCATGGCAGATTCCCTGGATCCGAGCGGACTGGGGAGGTGGCAGCATCCTCGGCTGCTGCTGGAGAAGGGGGACACAAACGAGGTTCCCCCTCGGGGTGTGGTGGTGGTTGGGCTCTGTGGGGTTTTTTGCAAATGCTGGTGCTTTTCTGAGCCTGGGAGGATGGGAAAGCCCCCTCTCTTCCCAGTGGCAGTGATGGTGATGGAGATGGGGAAAGTGGAGTGTGAGGTTCACAGGCAGAGCAAGAGAGACCTCTTCTGATGCAAGGCTGCAAGCCCAGCAGATAAATACCCAGGCAGTGCTGGCCTTAAATCTGGCAGGAAATCTCTCTCTTACAGCTTGAATTCCACAGTGGAGATGCCTGGGGGTGCCAGAGCCCCTTTTACCAGGAGGGGGCTGCAGAGGAACAGGCATAATTTGATTTAATTAACCTCTTCCTTTACAGCTTTTATTTCCCTGTGCAAGAAAACAACAAGACAACGTGTCCCCTTGGGGAGGTGGAAAAGAAGGCGGCGCAGCTCATTGGGAAGTGAGTTTTGGGGCTGGGAGCAGGGAGTGGGGGGGGATGCAGAGCCAGGACCCCCCTCCCTGTGCCATCCCTGATCCCAGTCTCACTGACCCTTTGCTCCTTGGCAGCTACACAAGGGACCACCCACTGTTCTTGCAGCTGAAGGACTATTTTTGGGTGAAGACGCCGTCGCTCTATGAGCTGCCCTACGGCACCAAGGGAAGTGGTAAGCCTGACAGTGCTCCATGGGGTCTGTCTGTCCGTCCTGCTGCTGCTCCTGGCCTTTCAGCTTCCCTTTTCCTAAAGACATCTGCAGGTTGATTTTGTCTGGGACGATTCCCAAGCTATTTTCTTGGTTTTTAGACTCTGCAGTGTGTATCTGCTCACCCTGGGTGTGCATGGTGCCTCTAAAAGAGTTTAGGGTGGGCCAGGTTTTACTAAGCCCCAGAGACAGATTATCTGCCTGAAACCAGAATTAACAGAAGGAGAAAATTCAGCAGGGATAGGGCAGCACTCAGAGTGTTGTGCCAGGCAGGAGCTACCTTCCTCACCTTCCTCACCTTCCTCACCTTCCTCACCTTCCTCACCTTCCTCACCTTCCTCACCTTCCTCACCTTCCTCACCTTCCTCACCCTGTCCTTGCCCTTGCTTTGCAGAAGACGTCCTCCTGCGCCTGCTGTCCATCACCCACTACTCCCTGCCCGAGAGCATCCAGAGGTAACACCGGGGTGGGTTTAGGGGCTTTTCTTTCTTTTTCTTCATCATTGCTGTCTTTGGGGGTGTTTGGAATTTGTCTGTGATGGGCCCAGGAAATGAATCTCTGCAACCCAGGGGTGGTGGTGGGAGCGTGGGAAGGTTTGGAGACTGGACAACACCGGGTTTAACCCCTCCAGGGGTTAAAATCACCCTGGTTTTGGAACAGGTCTGGTTGAGACAGGGTTTTCTCTCGCAGCCTGAAGTGCCGGAGGTGTGCCGTGGTGGGCAACGGCCACCGGCTCCGCAACAGCTCCATGGGGGACACCATCAACACCTACGACGTCGTGATCAGGTACAGCCCCGGCCCGGCCCACCGCTCCCTCCCCAGTGCCACCCGCAGCTGGGGCTCACACCTGTGATGTCCCAAAGGCTGAACAACGCCCCGGTCCACGGTTATGAGCAGGACGTGGGCTCCAAGACCACCATGCGCCTCTTCTACCCGGAGTCGGCCCACTTCGACCCCCGGACCGAGAACAACCCCGACACGCTGCTGGTGCTCGTGCCCTTCAAGCCCATGGACTTCCAGTGGATGGAGGCCATCCTCAACGACAAGAGGAGGGTGAGTGTGGTGGGGAACCGGGTCCAACCCCTCCCTGGCTGCTCCAGACTCCCAACTGTCATGCCACCCCACGCTTGGGGACATCTGGCCCCCTGCAGGTTCGGAAAGGGTTTTGGAAACAGCCCCCGTTGATCTGGGAGGCCAACCCGGAGCAAGTGCGCATCCTCAATCCCTACTACATGGAAGTAACTGCTGCTAAACTGCTCAACCTCCCCATGAAGCAACCACGGAAGGTCAAACAGGTATGGAGTGGGGATGGCCAGTCCCCCTGCACACCCTGAGGGGGGACAGCCTGTTCCCGTGCAGCTCCCTGAAGGCTGTGGCTCTGTGTCCCCCAGAAGCCCACCACGGGGCTGCTGGCCATCACCTTGGCACTGCACTTCTGTGACCTGGTGCACATTGCGGGCTTTGGCTACCCCGATTCGGCCAACAAGAAGCAAACCATCCACTACTACGAACAGATCACGCTCAAGTCCATGGCTGTAAGTCTTCACCCCACAGTTTTGTCCCTGTTCCCCCCATTTTTTCCCCAGGATGGGGGATGGCAGCCCAGGAGAGCAGTGCCAGGATGCTGAATGGCCTGGGAGGCTCTTCCCTCTCACTCCCCTCCCATGATCAAAGCTGGAGACTACCTTTGGATGGTCATCATCCAACTTCTCTTGGTAGCCAAATGTCTTTGGAGGCACGGAGAGCTGAATCCATCCCCAGTTTAAGTGTGAGGAGAAGAGCTTGTGGACAGGGGCACTGGGCGGGGAGGGTTCCATCCCTGCTTTTGGGGGGCTGAAGTCCCTGCTGGTGAGGAGGGAAAGTGGGAGGGGTGGAAGGAAAGCACATGGCCCCTCCTTGCCAGACTCTGGTGTCACCCCCTGTTCCCTATCCCGCAGGCATCAGAGCACAACGTGTCACACGAGGCCGTGGCCATCAAGCGGATGCTGGAGCTGGGACTTGTCAAGAACCTCACCTACTTCTGAGGGTGGGGCTGCACAGGGACACCGTCCCCAGGGCAAGGAGACACCGTCCCCTTCAGTGAGGGGACACTGCGCTGCCATGGCCGGAGTGACCGAGGGCAGAGCATCGTTGTCACCGCCGCCACCATGCCCTGGGACTCTCGGAGCAGGGCCGGGGCTGGGGGGCCGCGCTGGACCGCGGGTGCCCAGGGTGGGGCAGCTCTTGGGGGGCGCAGGGAGCCCGGCGGGGCCGTGGCCCAGCGCCTTTTCTACTGAAGCACTGAAGCTACCGAGGACTTGGAGGGGGTTTTTGGGGTAGGGGGGTCCTCCCTCCCAGCAGGCCTGAGGGGGTGAGTCAGGGCAGGAGCCCTTGCCCTGGACCTTGTCTTTCCCTTAATTCCCTCATACACTGACGAGGGCCCTGCTGAGGGGCTGATTTTGGGGGTCCTGGCCCCTCCTCCCCCAGGGAATGGGAGCTTTTGAAGGCTAATGTTGCCTCCTCCCTACCCTGGACCTCCCCCCAAATATTTAATGTCCCCCCCCCCCTTTTTTTTAATTTCCTTTTTTACTTGGCGGCCCTGTCCTGTGCCTTAGCGCTGGCGTAGGGACTCGTCCCCACAGCCCCCCTGGGTGGGGGCACCCTGGGGTGCTTGGCTTTGGGGTCTGCCATGGCCCTTTGGTGGTGCAGAGTAATTTAATTAATTTAAATGCTTATTTATGGTGGAGCCTTCACCCAGGGCCCGCATGCCACTGGTGTTGGGGACAAGAGGCCTTGGGTGGGCTGGTGTGTGCTTAGCTCCAGGGGTGGGCATTTGCCACCATGGAGGGGTTGACTGGTGCCTTCTCCCTGCTGGTGTAGGGTCCCCTCTGCCCCCTGGGGCCGCAGGTGTTGGGGGGACCCATGGATGGGGGTGTTGGGGCTTGTGTTGGCACCCAATAAAGTCCTGGTGAGGCTGGGATGGGCTGGGCACTCCTGGGGCCTGTTGGGGGGGATGTGAGGGAGTCTTGGGGCTGTGAGTCGCTGGGAGGGTGGCCTGTCCCCATGCCCTTGTGTCCCCGCATCCCCTTACCTGTTGTGACGCCCCATCTCCTGGCTCCCACGCTGGGGCTGTGCGGTGCCAGCTGCCCCGTGCCTCAGTTTCCCTCCAGCACCGGCCATTTCTGCCCCCACGGGGCCTGCCCCGGGAGGCCATGGCACACCCAGGCTCCAGGCCAGGTCCGTGCCGGGACAGGGTGCTGGGGAAGCTGATGTCCCCGCGGGGTGGCCATCAGCCCAGGCGTGCCACGAGAAACACCTCTTGTATTGACCGCGGTGCCGCGATACAGCGTGGAGAGGCCCTTCCCGGGGGGTCCCTGTCCCACCGCTGTCCCCCCCTCCTGTCCCACACGGCGGGACCCCCCGACCCCCCGAAACGGACTCTATAAGAATGGACACGGAACAGCACGAAGGAAGGGGAGGAGGCGGCTGGGAGAGGGCAGCGGGAAGCGGAGGCGAGCGGCTGTGGGGCACCGCCGAGGGAGCGGCTCCCCGGGGCTCAGCGCGTCCTCAGCGGGGTTGTGCTTAGCATGTACCAGGGCGGGGGGGATGCTCGGCCGGTCCCCTGCCCCACAGCCCCGCTCTGGGGGGGCTGGATCCGGCCTCTCCCCACCTCCGCTGCCGGCGGGCGCCACTGTCCGAGCACGGAGCCACGGCGCCCACGCGGAGGGTCCCGAGCGTCCCCGGAGGGCTCAAACGTGCGTCTGCATCCGCCTCTGCAGGGGCCGGCTGGGGTCTGAGTTTTGGGAAGACGACTGGGAATGGTGGGAGGAGGATGCAGAGGCCTTGCTGGCCTTGTCGAACTGCACGTAGCCGTCCTGCTTGCCGCTGCTGCTGATGCTGCTGTCGCACTGGGTGTCGAGGAAGGAGCTGCTGTCGCTCATGGAGCCGCGCTGGAACTCGCGCTCGCACAGCTCGATGGAGCTGCTGCCCATGCCCAGCACGAAGCGCTGGCTGTAGTCGTAGAGGCGGCTCTGCCCGCTCAGGGTGCTGTAGATGTTGGTGAAGGACATGCCCGTGGGCACCCGCTGCTTGCCGGCCGGGCGCAGGTCAGCCGGGCAGCCCGACAGCGAGATGGTGGGGGTGGAGTGGTGCTCCTTGAAGGTGTTCACGCTGTAGTAGCCATTGGTGGGGTCCTGGGGAGTGGGAGAAGCGGGGCAGGTTGCTGAGGTCTCCTTGGGTACCATGGCATTTCGGGTGCCCACCCTGCCAATCCACCCGGGACATGCGGGGCTTAGAATCATCGAATAGCCTGAGACCCACCTGGACCATCCAGCCCAGCCCCTGGCCCGGCACAGACACCCCCAAATCCCACCCTGGGCATCCCTGGAGCTCTGTCCAAAGGCTCCTGGAGCTCTGGCAGCCTCGGGGCTGTGCCCATTCCCTGGGGAGCCTGGGCAGTGCCAGCACCTCTGGGGGAAGAGCCTTTCCCTGATGTCCAACCTAACTCTGCCCTGGCCCAGCTCCAGCTGTTCCCTCAGGTGCTGTTGCTGGTCACAGAGAGCAGAGATTAGAGCTGTCCCTCAGGAAGAAGCTGCAGACCCTGAGGAGTCTCCCGTTGGTCTCCTCCAGGTTGAACAAGCCAAGTCACCTCAGCCGTTCTTTGTATGAACCCTCCAGACCCTTCCCCATATTCATAGCCCCCCTTTGGAGGACACCTCAACCACCAAAACGTCCAGCAATGTCCTCTTGTGCCATCAGTGGATTCCAGTCTGTTCAGCCCCCTCCACACAAGTCCCCCTTGCACAGCACTGTCCTGGCACCACACCTCCGTGTTTCCCCTAAAATCTGCTAAAAGGGGCCACAAAACAGTTCCAGCATGCCAGAGCCTCTCCCTGCACAGGGACAGCCCTGTGGGACAGGCCACCATGGGGACAGCACAGGGACAGCCTGCAGCAGCAGTGCTGGGTGTGAGCTGCTTCTGCCCTGCTCCCAGCACCCCAGCCCCTCTGCCAGGAGTGAGAGGGGGGCTCTGACCCCGGCTCTTCACTGGGGACAGAGGCAGGCCCCAGGATCCAGCTCACCTTCAGGTTTTGAAACTCCTTCTCCTCCTCCTTGAGCACCTCGAGCTGCTTCAGCACCGAATCCTGCTGGAACTCCCCCCGGTCCATCTAGGAAAGGATTCAGGCAGGGGTCAGCAGCCCTGGCTCCGCCTGGCCCCGGGTTCCCCATCGCCCCCAGGCCGTGTGGGGTGAGCCCCACATCCATCGGTAGCCCCAGGGCACTGGGGAGTTGCCACCTGCTGGATTCAAGGACTTGCCCAGGGCCCCCCAGCCGTGTCTGAGGGCGGTGGAGCCGGGTGGATGCACAAAAGCCACACAATTCCCTGGCTTACAGATTGTTTTTCCCTGTTTAGGACAGAAAAAGCCGGGCTGATGTAGAAAACAAATTATTTACCTTGGTGACTGCTGGGGCTGCACTCACCTGCCCAAAGCAACACCCCCAAAATCGCCCTTTTTTTTTAAATTTTTTGCTTCCCTTCTTTTTTCCCTTTCCTCCTCAGCTGAACTTGGCTGCCTCATTAGTTTTCCTTTGAAGGCTGGCTGTGATCGGGGGAGGCGGAGAGGAGGGGCAAGGTGCACATTAATTACACAACGGCTTTAATTACCCTTCCTTCAGCACGCGGGACTGCAGGAAGCAGGATAATTATCAAGGCAATTTCTCAGTTGCCTTTTTTTAGCTTCTCCCGTATTCACCGGACGCTTCCAGCCCGGCTTCTCTGGGATCACAGCCCCGCATCAGCCCCAAAATCCCCTTTTATTGCCCAAATTCCCTCCTCTTTAAGATGGTAAGTGGCGGTGGAAATTCAGCCCGCAGCACTTGCTGTTCATCTCTCGAAAGCCTTTGATGTGGCTGTTAAAGGCAATAAATTAAAGTACCTGAGTTTTCCTAGGGAAAAGAAAGCCAGTACCAGCCATTGATTTACCAGGATAAATACAAGTGTCGCCGAGGATTAAACGAGTGCAGCTAAATGGGATGTGCAGGGATTTTTTTGCTCTGCCAGCCCTGGCGACCCCCTCGATTCTCTAAAGCATCTCTGCAAAGGCAGAGACGGGGGGTGTTAACCCTACCGAAACAGCTCCCAGCTCGCAATGAAAAAGAAAAACCACTTCTCCTCCTTGAATTTGACTTCTTTTTTTTGTGTTGCTGCGGTTGACCCAAGTGGGCAGGGCCAGACCCAGAGACTGAGGGGGGAGAAGGGAGGTGGGAACCAAGGGACCAGTCCCACTGTGACCAAACCTCCCTGCAACTAATGCCGGGTTTGGTGGGCTGTTTTAAGCCATTTTATGTTGTCTCTTGAAGTGATGGTGGGAATGATCCAGGCACTGGGATGCTCCTTGAGCCCCGTGGGGACCCTGCCTGTCCCCGGGGCTCTGAATTTGGCTGCACCTCGTGGATTTGCAGGGAGTCCCCAGATGAGGTCCACAAAGCACCATCACATCATTGAACCTTCAATTCTCCCATTGCATCTAGTCATTAATGTCAACTTTATTAAAGTTTTACACCATTAATTAGTGGGCTGTGGGATCCTCGTTAGTGTGATTTCTGCTTTGTCATCACTGAGTAAACACCAGGAAGGGACAAAAGTTAACTCAAGTTCACTCCATCACCAATATTAACGGGGATTATGAAGGGGGAGAGGGATATACATAGAAAGAGAGACCAGACACATCTGAGTGTGCTGGCATGGGATGCCCCAGTGTCATTTCTAGATTTTTTCCAGATCCATGGCTTTCTCCAGCCAGGTGACAGCACCAATATGCTCTGGGCCTCGTTGTGCAGGTGGCTGAGGATATTAATGCCTGTTAGAGCCACCATTCCCATCCTGGGAACCTCATGCCCACACTTAATCCTGCTTGGCACTGCCAGGCACCAGCAGCCTTCCCCATCCCCAGATCATCACAGGTGGGGTGTGAAGTCCTGTCCATTCCCAAACCTCGCCGATGCCTCCTGGATCAGCGTGGCTGAGGGATGTGACAAATCGCATCCCCGCATCCCTGACCGCCCCTGCTTCAGTTTTCTCCACTGCAAAAGCCAGGGACACCCTCCAGATCCTGAACATCACCCCAGCCTTGTTGTGCTGGCTCGGGGAGCACATCCCTGCAGAGCAAAGCTCCTGCCCAG